GTGTGTTTTCTTCTCTCACTCATTGCTCAACATCACAATCTGTTACACTTGCTAATGGCTCCACATCATCTATTTGTGGTGTTGGTAATGTTGACCTGGACCCTGTATCCCTATCCTCAGTTTTGTATGTACCTAAGCTTCCATTTAATCTTATGTTTGTTAGTAAGCTGACCAAAGTCACTTAATTGCTCCATTACATTTTACCCCTCTATGTGTGTTTTTCAAGATCTCAAGACGGGGATGAAGATTGGTGGAGGGCATGAAGACGGTGGACTGTATTATCTTGATGGTGGTGGAAGAATGTCAACAGCCCTTCAGTCATCTATCTCTCCTCTCCAGTGGCATTGTAGATTTTGTCATCCTTCGCTGAAAGTGTTAAAAGTCTTTGGTTCCTTCGTTGAGTCAACTTTCTGTTCTAGATTGTGAGTCGTGTCAATTTGGGAAACACCATCGTGTTCCCTTTAGCTCTAGGGTTGATAATTGTGCATTTAGTCCTTTTTCTTTAATTCACTCAGATGTTTGGGGTCTTTATAAAGTGATGCATATAATGGATACAGATATTTTGTTATTTTTGTTGATGACTTTTCAAGGATGACGTGGCTCTATTTAATGAAGGAAAGAAGTGAATTATTTACCATCTTCTAGAAATTTTATGTTGAGATTCGCAATCAATTTGGCGTTCACATTAAAATTTTCCATTCTGATAATGGCCATGAATATTTGTCTTCATCTTTTCAAGAGTACTTGGACCAACATGACATTATACACCAAACTTCGTGTACTTACACCCCACAACAAAATGGGGTGGCTGAGAGAAAGAACCGGCATCTTTTAGAAACGGCATGCTCCCTCATGCACCACATGAATGTTTCCAAACCCTTTTGGAGTGATGTGATGCTCACCTCTTGTTTCCTAATTAATCGGATGCCCACGTCTATCCTTGATGGTCATTCTCCATTTAATGTCTTGTTTCCCACCATGTCTCCATTTCCGCTTTCTCCTTGGGTATTTAGGTGTGTCTGCTTCATCCATAATTTGGGTCTCGGGAACGACAAGTTAGATGCACGATCCCTTAAGTGCATATTCCTTGGCTATTCCCGAACTCAAAAAGGGTACAAGTGTTACCATCCCAGTTCTCGTCGTTCCTTGGTATGTGTTGATGTTACCTTCTTTGAGTCTACTCAATTCTTCGTGGGGTCTGGTGATGCTTCTTCCTCCATATCACCTCCTCCTCTTCCCCTTCCTGTGGCTGATCCTCTTTCTCTTGTTCCAGCCATGCCTACGTCCTTGCCTCCGGTGCCACCGTCCGTTGACCGTCCACCTATCCGTCACGTGTATACACATCGCCCACATGTACCGACTGCGACTCCTCCGACTTCATCACCGTCGACAAATCCAACTCCAGACCCGCCACCAGCCTCCGACCTTGATCTTCCTATTGCCTTACGGAAAGATAAACGCACTCGTACCTTTCATCCCATTTCCAATTATGTTTCACTTACTCACCTTTCTGCCTCCCATCGTTCACCTCTTTTTTATCCTCGGTGGTTGTCCCTAAGGATGTCCAGGAAGCCCTTACTTCTCCAGAGTGGTGTCGTGCTATGGAAGAAGAGCTCTCTGGTCTCCATCATAATCACACTTGGGATCTCACCGCTCTTCCTCCTGGAAGACAGGTTGTCAGTTGTAAGTGGGTTTATACCGTTAAGTACTTGCCTGATGGTCGTGTTGAGCGTTTGAAGGCGCGATTGGTAGCAAAAGGGTACTCCCAAACCTATGGTATTGATTACACAAAGACCTCCCCGGTTGCTAAGATAGGGTCAGTTCGTGTTATCATCTCTTTTGCAGCTATGTATGATTGGCCCCTATATCAGCTGGATATCAAAAATGCATTTTTGCATGG